TGCCACTGATTCTTCACGTTCTGTAGATGTAGATGCCACTGATTCTTCACCATCTTTAGATGCCACTGGTTATTCACATTCTGTAGCTGTAGTTGCCACTGGTTATTCACGTTCTGTAGATGCCACTGGTTCTTTACATTCTGTATATGTAGGTGCAACTGGTTCTTCACGTTCTGTAGATGTAGATGCCACTGGTTCTTCCCATTCTGCAGATGCCACTGGTTCTTCACATTCTGCAGATGTAGATGCCACTGGTTCTTCACGTTCTGTAGATGCCACAGGTTTTTCACGTTCTGTAGATGTAGATGCCACTGGTTCTTCACGTTCTGTAGATGCCACTGGTTATTCACGTTCTGTAGATGCCACTGGTTCTTCACGTTCTGTAGATGTAGATGCCACTGGTTGTTCACGTTCTGTAGATGTAGATCCCACTGGTTATTCATGTTCTGTAGATGCCACTGGTTCTTCACGTTCTGTAGATGTAGATGCCACTGGTTCTTCACGTTCTGTAGATGTAGATACCACTGGTTATTCACGTTCTGTAGATGTAGATGCCACTGGTTCTTCACGTTCTGTAGATGTAGATGCCACTGGTTCTTCACGTTCTGTAGATGCCACTGGTTATTCACGTTCTGTAGATCCCACTGATTCTTCACATTCTGCAGATGTAGATGCCACTGGTTATTCACGTTCTGTAGATGCCCCTGGTTCTTCACGTTCTGTAGATGTAGATGCCACTGGTTCTTCACCATCTGTAGATGTAGATGCCACTCGTTCTTCACTTTCTGTAGATGTAGATGCCACTGGTTCTTCACGTTCTGCAGATGTAGATGCCACTGGTTCTTCACGTTCTGTAGATGTAGATGCCACTGGTTCTTCACTTTCTGCAGATGTAGATACCATTGATTCTTCACGTTCTGTAGATGTAGATGCCACTGATTCTTCACCATCTTTAGATGCCACTGGTTCTTCACATTCTGCAGATGTAGATGCCACTGGTTCTTCACGTTCTGTAGATGTAGATGCCGCTGGTTATTCACGTTCTGTAGATGCCACTGGTTCTTCACGTTCTGTAGATGTAGATGCCACTGGTTCTTCACGTTCTGCAGATGTAGATGCCACTGGTTCTTCACATTCTGCAGATGTAGATGCCACTGATTCTTCACGTTCTGTAGATGTAGATGCCACTGATTCTTCACCATCTTTAGATGCCACTGGTTATTCACATTCTGTAGCTGTAGTTGCCACTGGTTATTCACGTTCTGTAGATGCCACTGGTTCTTTACATTCTGTATATGTAGGTGCAACTGGTTCTTCACGTTCTGTAGATGTAGATGCCACTGGTTCTTCCCATTCTGCAGATGCCACCGGTTCTTCACATTCTGCAGATGTAGATGCCACTGGTTCTTCACGTTCTGTAGATGCCACAGGTTTTTCACGTTCTGTAGATGTAGATGCCACTGGTTCTTCACGTTCTGTAGATGCCACTGGTTATTCACGTTCTGTAGATGCCACTGGTTCTTCACGTTCTGTAGATGTAGATGCCACTGGTTGTTCACGTTCTGTAGATGTAGATCCCACTGGTTATTCACGTTCTGTAGATGCCACTGGTTCTTCACGTTCTGTAGATGTAGATGCCACTGGTTCTTCACGTTCTGTAGATGTAGATACCACTGGTTATTCACGTTCTGTAGATGTAGATGCCACTGGTTCTTCACGTTCTGTAGATGTAGATGCCACTGGTTCTTCACGTTCTGTAGATGCCACTGGTTATTCACGTTCTGTAGATCCCACTGATTCTTCACATTCTGCAGATGTAGATGCCACTGGTTATTCACGTTCTGTAGATGCCCCTGGTTCTTCACGTTCTGTAGATGTAGATGCCACTGGTTATTCACGTTCTGTAGATGTAGATACCACTGGTTCTTCACGTTCTGTAGATGTAGATGCCACCCACTGGTTCTTCACGTTCTGTAGATGTAGATGCCACTGGTTCTTCACGTTCTGTAGATGTAGATGCCACTGGTTCTTCACGTTCTGCAGATGTAGATGCCACTGGTTCTTCACCATCTGTAGATGCCACTGGTTCTTCCCATTCTGCAGATGCCACTGGTTCTTCACATTCTGCAGATGTAGATGCCACTGGTTCTTCACGTTCTGTAGATGCCACTGGTTTTTCACGTTCTGTAGATGTAGATGCCACTGGTTCTTCACGTTCTGTAGATGCCACTGGTTATTCACGTTCTGTAGATGCCACTGGTTCTTCACGTTCTGTAGATGTAGATGCCACTGGTTGTTCACGTTCTGTAGATGTAGATCCCACTGGTTATTCACGTTCTGTAGATGCCACTGGTTCTTCACGTTCTGTAGATGTAGATGCCACTGGTTCTTCACGTTCTGTAGATGTAGATACCACTGGTTATTCACGTTCTGTAGATGTAGATGCCACTGGTTCTTCACGTTCTGTAGATGTAGATGCCACTGGTTCTTCACGTTCTGTAGATGCCACTGGTTATTCACGTTCTGTAGATCCCACTGATTCTTCACATTCTGCAGATGTAGATGCCACTGGTTATTCACGTTCTGTAGATGCCCCTGGTTCTTCACGTTCTGTAGATGTAGATGCCACTGGTTCTTCACCATCTGTAGATGTAGATGCCACTCGTTCTTCACTTTCTGTAGATGTAGATGCCACTGGTTCTTCACGTTCTGCAGATGTAGATGCCACTGGTTCTTCACGTTCTGTAGATGTAGATGCCACTGGTTCTTCACTTTCTGCAGATGTAGATACCATTGATTCTTCACGTTCTGTAGATGTAGATGCCACTGATTCTTCACCATCTTTAGATGCCACTGGTTCTTCACATTCTGCAGATGTAGATGCCACTGGTTCTTCACGTTCTGTAGATGTAGATGCCGCTGGTTATTCACGTTCTGTAGATGCCACTGGTTCTTCACGTTCTGTAGATGTAGATGCCACTGGTTCTTCACGTTCTGCAGATGTAGATGCCACTGGTTCTTCACATTCTGCAGATGTAGATGCCACTGATTCTTCACGTTCTGTAGATGTAGATGCCACTGATTCTTCACCATCTTTAGATGCCACTGGTTATTCACATTCTGTAGCTGTAGTTGCCACTGGTTATTCACGTTCTGTAGATGCCACTGGTTCTTTACATTCTGTATATGTAGGTGCAACTGGTTCTTCACGTTCTGTAGATGTAGATGCCACTGGTTCTTCCCATTCTGCAGATGCCACTGGTTCTTCACATTCTGCAGATGTAGATGCCACTGGTTCTTCACGTTCTGTAGATGCCACAGGTTTTTCACGTTCTGTAGATGTAGATGCCACTGGTTCTTCACGTTCTGTAGATGCCACTGGTTATTCACGTTCTGTAGATGCCACTGGTTCTTCACGTTCTGTAGATGTAGATGCCACTGGTTGTTCACGTTCTGTAGATGTAGATCCCACTGGTTATTCATGTTCTGTAGATGCCACTGGTTCTTCACGTTCTGTAGATGTAGATGCCACTGGTTCTTCACGTTCTGTAGATGTAGATACCACTGGTTATTCACGTTCTGTAGATGTAGATGCCACTGGTTCTTCACGTTCTGTAGATGTAGATGCCACTGGTTCTTCACGTTCTGTAGATGCCACTGGTTATTCACGTTCTGTAGATCCCACTGATTCTTCACATTCTGCAGATGTAGATGCCACTGGTTATTCACGTTCTGTAGATGCCCCTGGTTCTTCACGTTCTGTAGATGTAGATGCCACTGGTTCTTCACCATCTGTAGATGTAGATGCCACTCGTTCTTCACTTTCTGTAGATGTAGATGCCACTGGTTCTTCACGTTCTGCAGATGTAGATGCCACTGGTTCTTCACGTTCTGTAGATGTAGATGCCACTGGTTCTTCACTTTCTGCAGATGTAGATACCATTGATTCTTCACGTTCTGTAGATGTAGATGCCACTGATTCTTCACCATCTTTAGATGCCACTGGTTCTTCACATTCTGCAGATGTAGATGCCACTGGTTCTTCACGTTCTGTAGATGTAGATGCCGCTGGTTATTCACGTTCTGTAGATGCCACTGGTTCTTCACGTTCTGTAGATGTAGATGCCACTGGTTCTTCACGTTCTGCAGATGTAGATGCCACTGGTTCTTCACATTCTGCAGATGTAGATGCCACTGATTCTTCACGTTCTGTAGATGTAGATGCCACTGATTCTTCACCATCTTTAGATGCCACTGGTTATTCACATTCTGTAGCTGTAGTTGCCACTGGTTATTCACGTTCTGTAGATGCCACTGGTTCTTTACATTCTGTATATGTAGGTGCAACTGGTTCTTCACGTTCTGTAGATGTAGATGCCACTGGTTCTTCCCATTCTGCAGATGCCACCGGTTCTTCACATTCTGCAGATGTAGATGCCACTGGTTCTTCACGTTCTGTAGATGCCACAGGTTTTTCACGTTCTGTAGATGTAGATGCCACTGGTTCTTCACGTTCTGTAGATGCCACTGGTTATTCACGTTCTGTAGATGCCACTGGTTCTTCACGTTCTGTAGATGTAGATGCCACTGGTTGTTCACGTTCTGTAGATGTAGATCCCACTGGTTATTCACGTTCTGTAGATGCCACTGGTTCTTCACGTTCTGTAGATGTAGATGCCACTGGTTCTTCACGTTCTGTAGATGTAGATACCACTGGTTATTCACGTTCTGTAGATGTAGATGCCACTGGTTCTTCACGTTCTGTAGATGTAGATGCCACTGGTTCTTCACGTTCTGTAGATGCCACTGGTTATTCACGTTCTGTAGATCCCACTGATTCTTCACATTCTGCAGATGTAGATGCCACTGGTTATTCACGTTCTGTAGATGCCCCTGGTTCTTCACGTTCTGTAGATGTAGATGCCACTGGTTATTCACGTTCTGTAGATGTAGATACCACTGGTTCTTCACGTTCTGTAGATGTAGATGCCACCCACTGGTTCTTCACGTTCTGTAGATGTAGATGCCACTGGTTCTTCACGTTCTGTAGATGTAGATGCCACTGGTTCTTCACGTTCTGCAGATGTAGATGCCACTGGTTCTTCACCATCTGTAGATGCCACTGTTTCTTCACGTTCTGTAGATGTAGATGCCACTGGTTCTTCACGTTCTGTAGATGCCACTGGTTCTTCACGTTCTGTAGATGTAGATGCCACTGGTTTTTCACGTTCTGTAGATGTAGATGCCACTGGTTCTTCACGTTCTACATTTGTAGCTGCCACCGTTTCACAACGCTTTATCACGTCCACTTTAGTTTCCATCGTAATAGTGGAGCTTTTCTTATGACCACCCGACACATTCACCACTCTCACGCTTCCGAGACACGAAAAGCAGAGAACTCGACAAGAGAGTGGCGGTGCGTCCGTGAGCCGAGAACTGCCTTCACAAGAAAACAAACGGCGCACGGGGTGTATGTACAAGACAGTGAACAAATGCCCACTCCAATTTATTCTCCTGCAGACAAATCTCACCTCTCCCTCGCCAACAACAACCACCAAAACTTCCCCGGCCTGTAACCACCACCTCCCCCTGGGGAATCTGCCCCTCTCCTCCCTCCCTCTCCACGCTGCCCCCTCCCCTCACCTGGCTTTGTGCCGGTTGTAGGAGCGGGCAATTCACTCGCCAAGGGCTCCCCCCCCCCCCCCCCACCATGACGGACCTGCGGTAGCGGACGCCACAAATTTGGTGTTGGCGTCTCTGTGACGTCGCACCTCTGCAAATAATCGTGTTGTCGTTGTTCCGTTCCGAGTGCAAGGATTGAGGAATGAGTGCAAGGATTCAGGAATGAGTGAAAGGATTGAACGAGTGCAAGGATTCCGGAATGAAGTGACCGCAAGGCCTATAGAAGGAGGGGACGGGAAGGAGTGGAGGGAGGGAGGGATGGGGCTCAAGTAAGAGGGGTGATGGGGAAGGCCGTGGAGCACCGCTGGAGCCGTGTCGGCACCGCAAGACGAAAGAGAGTTCAGTGGAAATAAAGAATAAGAAAACGTAGCGGTGGAGACCACCACCACGAACACCACCACCAACGCAGCCACCACGACCACCACCACCGCCACCACGATCACCACGGACCACCACCAATCTAATAAGGGTGGGGGGGGGGGGGCTACCTGCCTGCACCAACGGACCATGACCACAACAATGTTGTTGTTGAAGCTTCCAAAAAATTCAAGGGCGCATCGCCGGCAAGGCATCAACCGCTGGGCAGGCGACGGTCAGTGCCGTGGCACCGGTGCCAACGCCGACTTGCCGACAGTCCGGCCACGTGTCCCTTGCTCCGCCAACTTGGCGAGGAGTGAGCTGGAGGAGATGGAGGAGGTGGAGGAGGTGGAGGAGGTATAGTGGTGCCATTGTCCGCTGGTACCGGGGAACTGTTGTGGGCATGTCGCGGGCCACAGGAGTCTTCTCACCGCCGGCAGCGCCAGCTAACGCACCGCCACCGGCACAGCCGCCAAGGGGTGCCGCCATCGCGCCGCCCACGCCGCCTGCGCCACCACCACCGCCGCCGTGCGCCGGCGCGGGGACCGGCAAAGCCGTTTGGTTCAGTGCTCGCCGCCGCCGTCGTCGCCGCCCATCCTCTTCACGATCCCACCGATGCCGCAGCCGACGCTGCCGATGACGACCATGATGCCCCTCCCCTCCCTGGCGCCGTTGGTGCCGGCGCCACCGCCGGCGCCGGCATCGACGGCCGCCCCCTCGTCCGAGAATTTAATCAAAGCGTGGCCGGGACGTCTTACCGACTCGGGCGCGACGTCCTGCACCGCCGCCGCCGGCGCGAGAGGGCCGCCTGCTGCCACGGGCCCCCCAGCGGCGCCGTTGCTGCGCCGGCGCTTGCGCTCGAAGAAGTCGGCGACGTCCTGCGGGGCCAGGCCCGTCTGCTCCACGAGGCGCCGCAGCGTCGCGTCCGAGGGCGACCGCTCCATGAGGAAGGCCTCGTTGAGCGAGATGAGCGGCAGGGCGCGCGCGATCGCCGCGGCGACGTCGCCTGGCGGCGCCGGGCTGCGCTTGCGCCCCTCCGAGGCCTGAGCGGGCGAGTGACCCCTGGAGGTTCCGGGCGACGTCGACGCCGGCGGGCGGCGCCTGGCGTTGCGCGTCGGCCGCTTGTCCCGGCCGCCGCCCCCCCCCGCCTCCTCCTCCTCCTGCTGCTGCTGCTGCCGCTCGGCCAACATCAACTTCTTGCGCTGCTGCTGCCGGCGGTAGGAGAAGGACTTGCGCACCTGCAGGGGCGTCATCCGGAGCACGTTCGACAGCAGGGCGACGACATCTTCCGTGGGCCACGGGTTCTCCTCGAATTTCACCCGCAGGATGTCGCGCTCGCACGGCACGTGACCCGGCGGCGTCAACTGCTTCTGCGCCGGTGCCGCCGCCGCCGCCGCCGCCGCCGGCGCTTTCCTGCCGTTGCCCGGCCTGTAGCTGGGGTCGCTGGCGTCGCTGGCGTCGCTGGCGTAGCCCGCCCGCTCCCGCGTGCCCCTCCTCTCCCCCTCCTCCTCCGCCACCCGCCCCCCGTCGTCGTCGTCGCTGTCCGAGTCCTCACCCACGTCACTGGCGCCGAGTTCGATGTCGATGGTGGCCGGCGCCGCCTGCTCCGCCCGCACGCCGGTCAGCCCGGCGCTGTTCTCGCTGCTCCAGTTGGGCCTGCGAACGGCAGCGTGGGCACCGCTGATTACCGGGGCGTTGTGTTTCCGTGTGGGCGACAACGCTCGACCCTTTCGCCCCTTTCCAACCGAGTCCGTGCTCACCTCGTGACGTTTGTCCCACCCTCCGGTTCCCGTTTCCGACGGAGTCCGTGCGTGTACGTCGGTGTCAAAGTACGTCAAAATAAGAATGGGTTTTACCCTTTCTGGCACTACAACAAGGGGTGTGAAGATGATAATTGTTTTTTAACCCTTTTATCTGGCAACAAAACTGACACCTTTTTTACGAGGAGTCTTGTTTGCATAGACCACAATACCTGCAATCATAATGCAAACATAACACAACTCTGATACTGTATGCACTGTCCTTGAGGTTGATTGGTCCACACCCGAGACAGCTTTCCTTAGAGCCTAGTCTCACATGGGTCACAGACTGGATCATCTGGTCTCATCACCTTCCCTACTTCCTGAACGTGTGGCACTTCAGCCAGTCACTTCTAATATTTGAGGCATCTCAGTCCAGAGGTCGCAAACGGGTTTTGATTCCTTACCCGTACCCGGCCGCACCAGGGTCGCAAACGGGTACTCGTACCCTACCGATACCCGGCTACCCGTACCTGGCCGGCCGGGTACGGGTAGCCGGGTATCGGGTAGGGTACGGGTATCAGGTACCCGATTGCAACCTCTGGGATGAAACCATGTTGCAGACGCGGGTGGGTTGATTCTAGGAACTTGAATTGTGAGAAGAGACAAGGCGTTGGGAAATGAGCGACAAACGGTGACTCACCAGTGACTCACGGCCTACCCGTACCCGGCCGCACCAGGGTCGCAAACGGGCACCCGTACCCAGCCGGTACGGGTAGCCGGGTATCGGATAGGGTACGGGTATCGGGTACCCAGTTGCGACCTCTGCCTCAGCCTCAGCAGGGTCACCCCCCCCCCCCCCCCCCCCCACTTTGCCTCACGATGTTTTCTGGGCCGAGGCATTTCCCCTCCCCCCAAGACCTCACAGAAATGCTCAGCAAATCTGAAAACCTGTTCCTGGGGGTTGGAGACAGATCATCTTTCTTTCCCCTAATGATGGTGATAGGTGTGGCGCTGCAAGTTACTTTTTTTGATGGAGTTAAGAAGTGATTTGTGATCGCGGGTTACTGAGGCAGATTCCATTTCTTCAGCAACCCGCGACCACCACCCATCCTTGCAGCGCCGCACGGCTCTCCGAACCTCCGAGCGAATGCTGCGGTAAACCTCCTCATTCTCTGATGTGGGATGCTGTAGACGATGAGAGTGGGCCTGTCGCTTTTTCTCAGCCAGCTTGAACACCTCCTCTGTCAGCCAGGGTCTCTGGGGAGGTCTGGACCGTGTACCCAAAGCAGCCATTGCAGCTGCATGAGGCACAGTCCTGAACGTCGCCCATTTACCCTCGACATCAAGGGGAGAGGGGAGGACGATGCCAACCCCAGCTGCAAGTGATGATGAAATTTTCGCTTGCAACTTTCATCAGCAAACAGAGACCAGGCCACCTTAGGTTGGAATGGGGTCCTGGGTGTACACCCACCACCGGAGTGGAAGAATGGCAGGCACATCTTACAGATGACAAGTCGATGGTCAGTGGGCAGATTAGCTCCACGGTAGGTCCTGGTGTAAAAGGACATGGGCCCGCATCCGCTGTTCCATCACTATGTAGTGTATTCTTGCTTGGACTCGGCGTGCATCCATGATGTTGTGGATGCACTGATGTCAGAACAGTGCGTTGATAATGAGCAGCACAAAAACCTATCAGCCTCCTACCGTTGTTATTGAGCCGATCTACCCAATGGCTAGCGATCATTCTAGCCCAGGTGTCAGCATCATGACCCACTCACGTGTTAGTCACCACAATAGGATGACTATTCCGAGGGGCCAGATTTGAAGTTTTCGTGACTGCAAGGATTCTTACTCTTTGGTTTTTTCGGTAAAGTCACCACGTAGGTGAAAAATTAAAATAAATTAAATCACGACGTTTCGGAGGCAACACAAGCTTCCGTCTTCAGGTGAAACCGTCACAGAAAAATTAATGTATCAATTGATACAGTAATTTTACAAATGATAGTAATTTTACAATTGATACAGTAATTTTACAATTGATACAGTAATTTTACAATTGATACAGTAATTTTACAAAACAACCAAAAAGTATGAATCCGAGGGGCCACTTTAGCTAGCACCTAGGACAGGGAGTTGTAGTCTGCATCCCTCCACTGATGTTCATCTTCGGTGAGGGCGTAAGCAACCACCACCACCATTCCTCACCTATTGTTGATGGGGAGGAGAGCCCAGATCAAGCCTGGGACTTACAGCTTCCCACACCTTACCGCTAAGCTCCCACACCTTCATTCTAGTTCAACTGTCCCACTCACTGATGTTTGGGAGTTTCCTACCTCGAGTGCAGAGCTGTCTACTCGGGCTGAACGATTCATCAATTTCAAATCGAAATCGCAATTTGAAACAATTCGATTAGCAAATCGCAAAGGCTGCGGTTTTCTGCGCGTCTTTATTCATTTATTTAACTTGAGAATTGTACTATGTTTGATTGTTCTATTTCATCTTCTTGGTTCTTTCGGTAAAGACCTGTTCTCCACCGGAGGACGGCTGCTTGCGTTGTGGCCGAGGCGTCGTGAGAATTATTTTATTATGTTTTATTTTTATTATTTTATTATTTCCACGTGACTTTACCGAAAGAACCAAGAAGATGAATCCCTGCAGTCACGAAAGCTTTAAATTGTTCTATTTCAATTAAAACATTTTAATAAATACACGTTGGAAGCAATTCATATTGTTTAAGTTCTCATCCTTGCACTAGAATATCTAGAGCAGTTCATATTTTGATGGTATCACGTGGTAATGCTCCATCACATGTTTAAAATCCATTACACAGCGAATATTGAACTGCAGCTTGCCTTTAAAACGTTTTATCGCAAATCAAATCGCAATATCTGTCAGAAAATCGCAATTAGAGACTTTCCCCAAATCGTTCAGCCCTATTGCCCACCACCACTCAAGATGGCTGGAGCTAAAACGGGTCCACCAAACACCTCCTGTATTCAACAGAGATCCAGGCGGTAACGGTCTAGCTCCTGACAGAGGAGCGGCAGCCTCTCCACCACAACAAGAGTTTGAACATTCCACGTAGCCACTCATAGTGCTTTTTGACATTTCTGGAGGAACCCCTGGCTTTGCCATCTGCAGAATGTGAAGAACCAGTGGCATCTAGAGCTGCAGAACATGAAGAACCAGTGGCATCTACAGAACATGAAGAACCAGTGGCATCTACATCTACAGAACGTGAACAACCAGTGGCATCTACATCTACAGAACGTGAAGAACCAGTGGCATCTACATCTACAGAACGTGAAGAACCAGTGGCATCTACATCTACAGAACGTGAAGAACCAGTGGTATCTACATCTACAGAACGTGAAGAACCAGTGGCATCTACATCTACAGAACGTGAAGAACCAGTGGCATCTACATCTACAGAACGTGAAGAACCAGTGGTATCTACATCTACAGAACGTGAAGAACCAGTGGCATCTACATCTACAGAACGTGAAGAACCAGTGGCATCTACATCTGCAGAACGTGAAGAACCAGTGGCATCTACATCTACAGAACGTGAAGAACCAGTGGCATCTACATCTACAGAACGTGAAGAACCAGTGGCATCTACATCTACAGAACGTGAAAAATCAGTGGCATCTACATCTACAGAACGTGAAGAACCAGTGGCATCTACATCTACAGAACGTGAAGAATCAGTGGTATCCACATCTACAGAACGTGACGAACCAGTGGCATCTACATCTTTCTAGATTTGAAGCTTTTGTGACTGCAAGGATTCATACTCTTAGGTTTTGTCGGTAAAGTCACGTAGGTAAAAATAAAAATAATATGATAGAAATAAAATAATAAATCACGACGTTTCGGAGGCAACACAAGTCTCCGTCATCAGGTGGGACCGTAATAGCTAAATTTACTGTATCAAGTGAGGCAGAGATTCCAAGCTCTTAAATACAAGTTAAGGGGGGGGGGGCCTTATCTGAATGTGGTAGCCAATGAATGGAACGTGTTGGGGGGGGGGGGGTGCGCGGGGCTAAAAGAGAACAATAGGTGCACTTTTTGTTGTAACCGGTGTTGGCTGACAATCCAAATACAAAAAAGGGCAGTTCTGTTAAACGCTGGGGATGTCAACACTCCATAAAGTAGAATAGAGCCTGTCAAATAAGATGGTACAAATATGTGTAGTTAAATCTTTTTTACACGGTTAATAACATCTTTCAAACGATTACTCAGTTTGTATCCATCATCACGGTTGAAGTTACATCTGCGTTTGTATATCTGGATGGCTTCGTGTACAAAGCTTAGTTAGATTGTTTCCACGTAGTTTAGTGGTAATTCAATGTAAGGTGGAGGGGTTACCAGCCCCCCGCACCCGTCCAAAGCCCCCTCTTGGTCGCTGCGGTGGCTACAAACGCCACGAGGTGGAATAGCCAATTGAAATTGCCCCCCCCCCCCCGCCCCCAGCCGGCAATTGCTAACTGCAGCGTTACCGTCCAGCACAACCGAGGCGGTAGGGAGTTGTTTTGCCGGACGATGACACTCACTCACTCACGTAACTGCATCAAACCTCACACACGAAGGGGGGGGGGGGGGTGAGGGGGTGACTCACTTCCAGTTCGACGTGAACGCTCCGCTGGCTCCCTGCGTGCTCGTCGTCGGCAGACGGCCCGCCGACCGCCAGATCTCGAACCACTGCTGCACCGTCTTGAGCGTCAGCCCCGTCTCCGAGCACAGGCGCTCCTGCTTGTCGGCCGATGGGAAGGGCGACTCGTGGAAGCTGGCCCACAGCGCCATGTGGATGTGCGTGGGCAGCGAGGTGTCCTGCGTCTCCGGCACGTCGCCACGCTGCACCACCTCGCTCAGATCCACAATCTCGCCAGGCTCCAGCACCTCGCCGCGCTCCGGCACCTGGTCGTGCGTTGACGTGCACAAGACGTCCCCGCTGCTGTCGCTGCTGCTGTCGCCGTTGGCCACCCCGGACGCGTGCCTCGCAGTCGGCTCCGCGTGCCGCCAAGGTCTCGCGTGACCGCCCTGAACGCCGTCTTCGTGTTGGCCGTGACCGCCGGCGTTGCTTCTGCCGTTGTTGCCTCTCGTCGTCGTCGCCGGCGGCGGCGGCGGCGCCGCGGTCCTCGCGCCCGCGCTGAAGCCGCTGGGCCACCCCGAGCCGCCCTCTTCCGCCTCCACCCCGTCGTCGTCGCTGTCGACGGTGTCGCTGCTGCGCAGCCGCAGCCGGGCCTCCAGCACCTCGTCCGGGGTCCAGCTGATGCCGTGCTTGAGACGCTGGGCCTCGAACCAGGCCTGCAAGTTCTCCGCGGTGACGCGGACGCGCCTCGCCAGGCGCAGGGCGCGGTCCCGCGTCGGGTACGGGAAGGCGTCGAACGCCCGCATCAGCCGCGGGTTGACGTCCAGCATGGGGTCGTAGGTCGAGTAGCGGAACGGCACCGCCACGCTCTCCTGCAGCGCCGGGTCAGGCGCTTGCCGCACCTTCACGGTGAAGGGGTTCTCCGCCTCCGCTCGGACCGGGGGCGGGGCGAGGACGGCCTGCGCAGGAGGAGCGACCGCTGGGATCGGGGCCGCCGCCGCTTTAGCGCCGCGCCCGTCGGCATTGCCGCCGCCGCCGCCCTGGCCACGAGCGCCGACCTTGGCCGAGGTCGGCGGCACGGCGCCGCCTCTCTCGCCGACGGAGAGGGCCTCCTGCGCCGGCCGGGGCCGTCGACCCGCGTCCAGAGGGGTCGCCCTCGGCGCGGCGTCCGCCCTCGGCGGCGGCCTCGCGGCTGCCGGGGACGCGAAGTCTTTCTCGGACGCGGCGGCCTTCGGCAGCCAGCTGCGGCACAGCTCCTCGGGGTCGTCCAAGATTCTCTCCGGCGCCTGGCCCCCCGCCTGCCGAAACGAGCGGCGGGGGGTCACCGACGCCGGCTCCCGCGACAGTCCTTCGTCGCAGCGCCAGCCCTCCTCGGTCACAAACGTGCGGAAGCTCTCGGGCGAGAGGGCACCGGCGCTGGCGGCGCGCTCCAGCACCGGCACGCGCTCCAGCCGCACGTGCAGAAACCCGCCGGTCACGGGCTCCCGCTCCGCCGGCGTCGCCTCCGCGGGGTGCGGCCATGATTTCTTCATGCAGATCTTCCTCCGCTGGTAGCAAAACTCGTTGATGGTCCTCCTGGAGCTCTTGCGGTTGGTCCTCATTGGCGCCCGGATCCGACCGCGACGTCAACCTGCGGCGCACAACGCGGCCGAGTTTCAGCGCCCGCCCCCACCAGGCGAGGCTTCCCCCACGCGCTCACCTGCGGGGGCAACTTGTACACTACGGGGAACTTCATGCACCGGGTGACGCTGGCATGCGCCATGACTGTCGCTGTGGTTCAACTAAAGCATCGAGAGAGACTGCTGCTCTTGCGGTGGCCTACACTCCCAGAGGGGGGTGGTGGTGGTGGTGGTGGTGGATCTCTCCCGGGGGGATGAGTGCCCCCCCCACCCCCCCCGAGAGACAGATCACCCCACACCGGAGCATGACGTGAACCTGCCCCACGAGCTCACTTCTCTCAGTTTCAATGGATTCTCGAATTAATGTTCGCCGGTAATACCGACGACAATCACCCAGGAAATCTCTGGCCTTGAAGCTCGCGACGTCACTCCACGTTGACCAGCCCCCCCCCTCATTAATATTCATGAGCAGGTGACGTCCTCCAAATGGACACCCTCCCCCCCCCATTATTATTACCATAAGCCAAGAATGTCTGTGTGCAACGCTCGCGACGTCACTCCACATCGACCAGTCCCCCTCATTAATAATCATTATAAGCCGTGACGTCACTCCACATGGGGGGGGGCGAGGCACCTCCTCCCCCCTCCTCTGCGTCAACTCACAACCCTCACTACAAAGGCAGAAGCCCTCACGTCACGCGATCTCCGTGACGCTGTTGAGACATCGAAGTAAAAAGGACGTCGAAATGAACAAGGGATTATAACCTTGACATGAAATAGGTCTGTGTCAACGCTCCCTTACACATTGCACACAAATTGATGCGATTAATATCACGTCCTGGTCTGATTTTCGCTTACAAGTTTCAAATTTACTTGGACGGGCAAAAGGCGAGTAAATCATTAGTTTTACACAACACTTCAACATTATCAAAATCAATCGAGTCTCCTTTGTTGGCAAGCATTCTCTGCAACTGCCGACATTTGGGGCAAGTGTTGCGAGTCAGTAGCACCCTATGAAGGCCGAAACGGCACACGAGGGGAGGGGGGGTGGAGTGGCCTTTGTCTCCCCGGTGGCGATGTTGACTGCTCTGGACCGGATCAGATAACCAAACAACACTGCCGCCACCACCGCCACCATCCTCCTCACTCCATATCACGGATCTGCATGGCTGGCTTGAGGTGGTTGCGAAAGAAGGTCAACACACACAGACTCACACAGAGACCCATAGACTCACATAGAGACCCACAGACTACTCACACATACACATAGACTCACACAGAGACCCATAGACTCACACAGAGACCCATAGACTCACACATAGACTCACACTGAGACCCATAGACTCACACATAGACACATAGACTCACACTGAGACCCATAGACTCACACAGAGCGTCATAAACTCAGTATCAAAATGTAAGGGTATGTTTTACCCTTTACGGCCATGAAACAGCCGTGTTAAGATGTTAAAACACCCAACAGAAACATGTTTCTGCATGTTCACCACCAGTATATGTGGTAAAACCTATTCTTATACTCAACACTTATCACATGGCAGAGACCCACAGACTACTCACCACAGAGACTCATAGACTCACATAGAGACCCACAGAATACTCACACAGAGACCCATAGACTCACATAGAGACCCACAGACTCACACAGAGACTCATAGACTCACACAGAGACCCACAGACTACTCACCACAGAGACCCATAGACTAACAGAGACCCACAGACTACTCACACAGAGACCCATAGACTCACATAGAGACCCACAGACTACTCACACAGAGACTCATAGACTCATATAGAGACCAACAGACTACTCACCAGAGACCCATAGACTCACATAGAGACCCACAAACTACTCACACAAAGAGCCATAGACTCACACAGAGACCCACAGACTCCTCACCACAGAGACCCATAGACTCACAGAGACCCACAGACTACTCACAGAGACCCATAGACTCACACAGAGACCCGTAGACTCACACAGAGACTCATAGACTCACATAGAGACCCACAGACTACTCACACAGAGACCCATAAACTCACACAGAGACCCAGACTACTCACACAAAGACCCATAGACTCACACAGAGACCTAAAAGACTACTCACCATTCGATTGTTGTTCTTCACCATCAGCGACGTGAGTGGTGGCGAGGTGGTGAGGGTGGTAGTGTGGGTGGTGAGGGTGGTGAGGGTGGTGGTGAGGGTGGTGGTGAGGGTGGTGGTGTGGGTGGTGAGGGTGGTGGTGAAGGTGGTGGTGAAGGTGGTGGTGAGGGAGGTGGTGAGGGAGGTGGTGAGGGTGGTGGTGAGGGTTGTTGTGAGGGTGGTGTGGGAGGTGATGGTGGTGAGGGTGGTGGTGAGTGTGGTGGAGGTAGTGAGGGTGGTGGTGAGGGTGGTGTGGGTGGTGGTGGTGTGGGTGGTGGTGAGGGTGGTGGTGAGAGTGGTAGTGTGGGTGGTGGAGGTGGTGAGGGTGGTGGTGAGAGTGGTGAGGGTGGTGGTGGTGAGGGTGGTGGTGGTGATGGTGAGGAAGGTGGTGAGGGAGGTGGTGATGGTGGTGGTGGTGAGGGTGGTGTCGATGGTGGTGGTGATGGTGAGGAAGGTGGTGGTGAGGGTGGTGGTGGTGAGGAAGGTAGTGTGGGTGGTGAGGGTGGTGGTGGTGAGGAAGGTAGTGTGGGTGGTGAGGGTGGTGGTGGTGAGGAGGGTGGTGGTGAGGGTGGTGTCGATGGTGATGGTGGTGGTGAGGGTGATGGTGGTGATGGTGAGGGTGGTGGTGGTGAGGAAGGTGGTGAGGGTGGTAGTGTGGGTGGTAGTGTGGGTGGTGAGGTGGTGGTGAGGGTGGTGGTGATGAGGAAGGTGGTGGTGAGGGTGGTGGTGAGGGTGGTGATGGTGGTGGTGATGATGATGGTGGTGGTGATGGTGGTGGTTGTCGTGTGGATGTTAGACGCGCGCGTGGTAGTAGTGATGGTAACGATAATAGCAGCGACTACAACAACAGCTTAATAAATACAATAAAAACACCAACAATAAATAAACCTGAGGTGAAAATTTTTACGGTAAAAAAGGGAAAAGTTAATTAGAATTTTAAAAGTAGAAAAAAATCTTTGTTCTTAAGATGGCAGCAGCCCGTCAGAAAGGCCTCAGGCCTGGGCCTAGTGACCCCGGAAACGGAAACTGGCCGTGACCCCTGCCCCTCCACTCCCGCCAAAATTCCCGAGGCCACGCCTCTCGCGCTCGCTCATTGGTCGGTGGCTGAGCTGGGGGGCGGAGCCTGTTGTAGAGTGGGAGGGGCGAGAGGGAGTAGGGCCGTGTGCAGCGCCTCGGGGCTATAAGCGCCCCTCCCCCACACTCCCCCCCTCCCACCCCCAATATCCCTCTTCTCATTGGTGGATGGCTGAGCAAGGAGGCGGAGCCTGGAGTAGAGTGGGAGGGGCCAGGGAGAGTAGGGCCGTGTGCAGCGCCTCGCAGCGATGTCCCCATGTCCCACACAACACCCCCTCCCCACCCCCTCAATCCCCTCTTCTCATTGGTCGGTGGCTGAGTGGGGGGCGGGGTCTAGAGTCCAGGGGGGAGGGGCAAGGGGGGGAGAGTAGGGCCGTGTGCAGCACCACTGGACAACGCCCCCCCCCCCTCTAATCCCCAATACCCTCTGCTGATTGGCCGGTAGCTGACCGGGGGCGGGGTCTAGAGTGGAGGGGGGGAGGGGCGATAAAGAGTAGGGCCGTGTGCAGCGCCACGCAAGTACTCCCTCCCCCCCCCTCTACACAACCGCCATTTGCCACTAAGTGTCTGTGACGTCACCACGGCGCTCGTGCCAGGCTAGGTGCACGTTGAGGCCACGTGAAGTGTCGAACGCCCGCCGGCAGGAGGCCGCGGGGCAGACCCAGCAGGTGCCACGGGTCCACTGACTGAGATAACTTCCCCCACAACTACCCCCTCCCCCCGATCCCCCCCCCTCTCATCCCCTCCACAAATTAGCCAATAGCCGCGTCACGAGCTCAGTGCTCGCGAAGTGACGGTGATGTCACCATGGCGCCTGTGCCAGGCCAGGTGCACGTTGAGGCCGCGTGAAGCGTCAAAGGCTCGCTGCTGACAGCCCCAGCAGGCGCCGTGGGTTGGCTCCGATGATTGGTAGATGCACCGGCTGTACACCCTTCAAGTCCCAGCATGGATCGAGCGTGTCTATGATATTTTGAATCCCTGTGTGTATGTGTTTGAGCGTACGTAGTGCTCACGAAGTGACGGTTTGGCCAGGCTGGATTGTGTGAGGAGCTCACAAGTCCTTGAAGGATCTGGGCAGGGTCCCGTCGGTGAGCTCCTCCGGCAGGCAAGGCTGCGTTGGCTGGGTCATGTAGCCCGCATGCCCAGCCACCGCATGCCTAAACAGCTTTTGTTTGGCCGGATCGAGGGGGCTAGGCGGGCGCGGCGCGGGCTGGGGAGGAGATGGAGTGATGTGGTGCAGGAGGACGTGGAGCTGAGTGGACTTGCCGATGACTGGTGCCGGCAGAGTAGGGGTCGGCCTCTGTGGAGGAGGCTCGTGAGGGACGCTACTGGGCAGTTGGAGGCAGTCGCCCTCCAACAACAACGGAGGGTGGAGGAGCGACGCTCACAACAACGAGCGGAGCGCCGGGTGGCTAAAGCACAGCAAGTTGGTACAGTAGGGGGCACAGGTGGTGCATCAGCCAGTCATCTCGGTCATCTCGGTCAGTCGACCCGTGGCACCTGCTGGGTCTGCCCCGTGACCTCCTGCCAGCGGGCGTTCGACACTACACGTGGCCTCAAGGTGCACATGGCCTGGCACAAGCGTCGTGGTGACGTCACCGCCACTTAGTGGCGAATGGCGGTTGTTGTTGTTGTTGTAGTGACGTCGAGGATGTCACTGAGAGGGCCAGGGCATGCGATGCACCGTCATCGCGGACACCCCGTGGGCGGGTATAGTACCAGCCCTAGCGGGGCTTGGTGACCGCTGGGATAGCGCGGGCACCACGCACGGCGTGCGCTGTGGGCTCCCACAGGGGAGAGTGGGAGAGCGTCCAGGGACAGGGTTGCCTCGGGCCGTGGCACTCTGGTTGACCCCGTAGACTCGTGATCCGGAGTGTCCACAGAGAGGCCCCCAGGTGGGGGTGGGGGGGGGTGCTAGGAGGTGATCACATGTCCAGGGAGAGCTCTCCAGAGGGATCGAGAGGGAGCTAGAAAGCTCCGGAAGGGGGGTGGGGCCAAGGGCGGAGCCAGCCTTGACCGTAGGGGGATATAAGGTGGGTCCCTGAGAGGGGCCGGGGTCGCTGCTTTCTACAAGCTGAAGCTCCACGTCCATGAGCTGAAGCTCTACGTCTACAAGCTGGAAGCTCCACATCTACAAGCTGGAAGCTCCACGTCTACAAGCTGGAAGCTCTACGTCTACAAGCTGGAAGCTCTACGTCTACACGCTGGAAGCTCCACGTCTACAAGCTGGAAGTTTTACGTCTACAAGCTGGAAGCTCTACGTCTACAAGCTGGAAGCTCCACGTCTACAAGCTGGAGGGTCTACGTCTACAAGCTGGAAGGTCTACGTCTACAAGCTGGAAGGTCCACGTCTACAAGCTGGAAGCTCTACGTCTACAAGCTGGAGGGTCTACGTCTACCAGCTGGAAGCTCCACGTCTACAAGCTGGAAGCTCCACGTCTACAAGCTGGAAGCTCCACGTCTACAAGCTGGAAGGTCTACGTCTACAAGCTGGAAGCTGGAAACTCCACGTCTACAAGGCAACCACGTGGTCGCGGACCCGAGTAGGGACCCGACCCCTCTGTATAGGGTACTTAGCTGGGTGCTCACCACCCTCGGCTGTATCTGGTGATGGGGCAGTTACCCCTTCGTGTTAACATATTTCTATAAATGTGTTGCCTCTAAAAGGAACTTTTTTTGGCTGCTGCAGCTCTTTACTACTAAAATTCCCCTCGCTTTATCACTGCTAATCCTACATAATACACTAGCATAATATGACTTTGAGACCCCCCACCACCTACACATTCCACAAGTAGTGACTAATCCCATATCTGCATTTCTCAACAATATACTAAATTCCTCTGTTGATATGTAAATTACTTTGTCAAGGCGCCCTTCCTCCTCTAACCCAGCTTAAAAATACGCTGCCAAGCTTAGCGGTGTTCATTCAGACGCTGTCTTTCCGACAGCCCTGTTCTTCACCTGAGGACGGCTGCTTGCGTTGTGACCGAAACGTTGTGAGAATTTTTTTATTATGTTTTATTTTAATTATTTTATTATTTCCCTTCTACGTGACTTTACCGAAAGAACCAAGAACATCTAAAAGGCACGTCTGCGACTCAGTTGGACTCACTACACACGGATCAAGCTTGCCGATATTTTTGTTTAATAAACCACTTCCACGACACGTCGAGATTCGCCTCCTTTCTTCTTTATTAGTTACGGCTGCTTTGGCTCCGCACTCTCTTTAGATGGTCACCATCTCTCTCGCTCTCTCGCCGCATGCACGCGCTCTCCGCTCCTCCGTTTCCGCGCGGCTTCCCTCGCCTCCCCGCGCACCGCCGGTCGACGGGGCACCGGAAACCGGGAGAACTTCGTCCGCGGCTGCCACGTGGTCGGTGGCTGACGAGATGGCGGAGATGCAGTCCGGACCAGAGGTCGCAAACGGGTTTTGATTCTTTACCCATACCCGGCCGCACCAGGGTCGCAAATGGGTACCCGTACCCGGCCGGGTACGGGTATCCGTTCCCTACCCGTACCCTACCCGAAATGAGTGACAAACGGTTACTCACCAGTGACTCACGGCCTACCCGTACCAGGCCGTACCCGTACCCTACCCGTACCCGGTCAGATACGGGTACCCGTTCCCTACCCGTACCCGTACCCTACCCGAAATGAGTGACAGTGACTCACCAGTGACTCACGGCCTACCCGTACCCGTACCCGGCCGCACCAGGGTCGCAAACGGGTACCCGTACACGTACCCGACCGTACCCTACTCGATGGTTCCCGCATTTACCCCTGAGCTCCGCCCATGAACTTTGGCCCAGATCGAACCCGTAGCCCTGATTGGCGATGACCGATGCGGCAATGCCTCTACATAACAAAAGGCTCAGTCCCATTTACACGCACCTTTACATCAGCCTCACCTTAACAACTCTTTTCAACCAGTCTACACAACAAAGACTCATTCCTAACAGCGTGCTTCAGCCGCACCGAACCTCACAATTATAATATGCAGGGCCTACCTTGGCTCCTCCCACCCTCAACCAGTATATTTACAAGGACTGTTTTCTTGGAATTTCTCTCACTTGATACAGCTGTCGTGCTGTGACGGTTCCACCTGAAGACGGAGGCTTGTGTTGCCTCCGAAACGTCGTGATTTTTATTTTATTTTTTATTTTACTTTTATAAATTTAAATTTTCTACCTACGTGACTTTACCGAAAAAAAAACCTAAGAATATGGATCCCGTAGATAGGTTAAAAGAAAATAACAAAAAACAACAAAACTAGAGCCTCTTTTTTTCTTCCTGATGACGAATGCTTGTGTTGCAATCGAAACTTTTATTAATTTAAATGTTTTACCTACGTGACTTTACCGAAAAAACCTAAGAAAATGCCTAAGCAGCCACCGTATGTCAGTGTGCTCTCTCATTACACATGGATCAAGCATGTCAATGATGATTTGAATACCCGTGTCTGTGTGTTCGAGCATGGATCGAGCATGGATCGAGCTGTGATAGTTTGAATACCTGTGCCTATGTACCACCAAAGCGGCCAAGTGGGGGCTCTGGATGGGTGCGAGGGCCTGGTAACCCCTCCACCTTCCATTGATTACTACAAAAGCATGGAAAAAATATCTAGCTAAGCTTGTACCAGAGGCCCCGGGGGGACAGGCGTCGATAACATCTCCTAGCCAAAACCCATTTTGCGGAGCCAGGAGACTGAATCCTTACCGTCAGGGTTCCTCAGGAAATGGAAAAAAGCCACAGTGAGTGGCCACGTGGAATGCTGGAAGACGCACTGCAGAGGAGAGGCTGCCACTCCTCTGTCGGGAGCTGGAACGGTACCGCCTGGATCTCTGTGGTAGTCAGGAGGTCCGGTGGCCTGGCTCTGGCTCCTGCCACCATGAAAAATAAAATCCTCCACTGGGGGTAGGAAACTGCCAAACAACGGTGAATGGCTCTTATGAACAAAACAATGAAGTGGGCGTGGGAGCGTGGCGGTGAGGTGTGGGAAGCTGTAAGCCCCAGGCTACTTTGGGCTCGCCTTCCCATCAACTAGAGGCGAGGAGTGGTAGTGGTGGTTACCTTTACCCCCACCGAAGACAAACATCAGTGCGGGGATACAGGCAAGGCCGATGAGTCAGATGCCTTCAATGACCTCCTGTCACAGGTGCGAGCCAAAGTGGCCCCTTGGGATGCTGGCACCTGGGCTGGAGTGATTGGAAGGCATGGGCCAGATCAGCTCAATAACAACGATAGGAGGCTGCTAGACTTCTGTGCACCCCATGGGCTTGTAATTACCAACACGCTGTTCCGGCATCGGCGCATCCACACAACATCATGGATGCATGCCGGGTCCAAGCAAGAACATCTGTTGGACTACATAGTGACGGAACAGCTGATGCGGGCCCATGTCCTTGACACCAGGACCTACCGTGGAGCTGATCTGGCCACTGACCATCAGCTTGTCATCTGTAAGATGCGCCTGCCATTATTCCACTCCGGTGGTGGGTGTACACCCAGGATCCCATTCCAACCAAAAGTGGCCTGGTCTCAGCTAGCTGATGAAAGTTGCAAGCGAGAATATCATCATCGCTTGCAGCTGGGGTTGGCATCGTCCCCCACTCCTCCTGATGTCGAGGGTAAATGGGCGAGGTTTAGGACTGTGACTCATGCAGCTGCAATGGCTGCTTTGGGTACGCGGTCCAGACCTCCCCAGAGACCCTGGCTGACAGAGGAGGTGTTCAAGCTGGCTGAGAAAAGCGACAGGCCCAATCTCATCGTCTACAGCATCCCACGTCAAAGAATGAGGAGGTTTACCGCAGCCTTCGCTCGGAAGTTCGGAGAGCCGTGAGGCGCTGCAAGGATGGGTGGTGGTCGCGGGTCGCTGAGGAGATGGAGTCTGCCTCAGTGGCCCGCGATCACAAATCACTATTTAACTCCATCAAAAAAGTAACCTGCAGCGCCACACCTATTACCATCATTAGGGGAAAAAACGGTGATCCAATCTCCGACCCCCAGGAACAGGTTTGCCAGATTGGCCGACCATTTCAGATAGGTCCTGGGGGAGAGGGGGAAACTCCCTCGGCCTGGAAAACATCGTGGGGCAAAGAGGCGTCGACCCTTAGGGGCCGTCCATAAATGACGTCACGCGATTTTGTACGATTTTTGACCCCCCCCCCCTTCGTCACATGACGTCACAAAAAGTCAGCCCCCCCCCCTCAAATATGACGTCACAAAGCTCTGCCCCCCCCCCCAAATAAAACATTCTTCAAATCGCTTTAAACTGTTGTCATTGTAGTGCGCATTTAATGTGGCGCTGCACTCTGATGTTGTAGGAGAAAACGTTTATCAAAGAGTCTATTTAATTAAGTAGAACGTGTTGCCTAAGTTTATTTAAAGTTGCGCATTTTGATGTGACGTCACATTTCTCACCCCCCCCGTAGGTGCGTGACGTCATTTATTATTGATCATCCTTTCCGTCGCGATGACGTCACGGCATCACCCTGTGCGGTGCAGGCAGTGACGTCACGGCATGCCTGCAAACCAGAAGTTTGACGTCACGCAGCACGGCGCGTCTGACGTCACGTCACACCCCAAAGGCGGCTCCAACCGCCTTGCTCGCAACAGCCGTTGGTGGCGGTGACGTCACCGCGGCACTTGTGCCAGGCTAGGTGCAGGAGGAGGAGGTCACAGGACAGACCCAGCAGGTGCCGTGGGTTGCCTGCTGTGCCAGGCTAGGTGCAGCAGGAGGTCACGTGACAGACCCAGCAGGTGCCGTGGGTTGACTGCTGTGCCAGGCTAGGTGCAGGTCACGTGACAGACCCAGCAGGTGCCGTGGGTTGACTGCTGTGCCAGGCTAGGTGCAGGAGGAGGTCACGGGGCAGACCCAGCAGGTGCCATAGGTTAAGTGCTGTGCCAGGCTAGGTGCAGGAGGAGGTCACATGACAGACCCAGCAGGTGCCGTGGGTTAACTGCTGTGCCAGGCTAGGTGCAGGTCACGTGACAGACCCAGCAGGTGCCGTGGGTTGACTGCCGTGCCAGGCTAGGTGCAGGAGGAGGAGGTCACGAGCGGTAAAATTTACTGCCCATTTATTGGAATGCAACCCGCACGCAACGACAACGCAACCCGCACGCAATCCGCACGCAACCCGGAACCGCAACGCAACCCGCACGCAACCCCCCCCTCCCTCCCCCCATTTTGCCCCCCCTCTCCTTCATCGGCCGCCGCCACTCCCCATGTCCATAACGAGCACTCCGTCCTGGTCGCTCGCCTCGTACCAGCGGGCGACCACACCGCCCCCGTCACCGCCCCGCCGCCGTCACCGTCGTCACCGTCGCCGCCGTCGCCCCCGGCAACCGCGGCGCCACCGCCGAGTTCCCCGTCCACCGCCGCCGGCTGCCCCCCTCCCCCCCCCGCCGCCGCCCCCCCGCCGCCCCCCACCCACCAGCCGTAGCGGCGCCGCGTCTGGCTCTTGGCGTGCAGCAGCTTGTAGCGCTTCTTGTTGAAAAAGTTTCGCACCGTGGACACGGCCAGGCGCGTCTCCTGCGCCAGGCTGGCGTACAGCGCCGGCGAGGGCGACCGCGACTCGTCAAACGCCCGGTTCAGGATCGCCAGCTGCTCGTACGTCTTCTTGCCGCCGATGTATTTCTTGGTGCGGCGAGTGCGGCGTGCCCGGCAGGCGTCGCCGGTGCCGGCGTTACCGTCGCCACCGCCGCCACCGCCGACATTACCGCCGCCGCCGCCGCCGCCGCCGGAGTGACTCACGGTGCCGGCGTGATCCACGGTTGCAGCGTAACCACCACCACCGCCGGCGTAACCGCCACCGCCGGCGTTACCGCCGCTGCTGCGACGGCCACCAAAACTACCGCCGCCACCACCGGCGTTACCGCCACCATCAGCGTAACCCACGGTAGTGGCGTAGCCGCCACCACCGGCGTTACCGCCGCCGCCGCCGCCGCGACGACCACCAAAACTACCACCGCCGCCACCGCCGGCGTTACCGCTGCCGACGGACTCCCTGGCGAGCTTGACGGTGTAGCGGCGGTTGGAGAAGTACTTCTTGACCTGGTGCGGCTTGAGTCCGACCTCGCTGGCCAGGCAGGCGATGGTCTCCTCCGAGGGGTACGGGTTCGCCTCGTAGTTCACCTGCAGCAGCTCCCGTTGCCACATCGTGCGTGCCGACGCCTGCCGCGTCCACGACCACTGCTTGCCGGCGTGCGGCGCCGGCGGCGGCGGCAAAGCCGGCGCCGAAGACTCGGCCGCTCCGCTCCGATCGCCGTTTGCCGGGAGGGTCCCGGCCTCCTCGGATCGGATGAACCTGCGGGGGGCGACGAACGGGGACACGGCAAGTTAGAAACGTTGCTCGGTTTGCCGGCACCGGCGCCGGCACCGGCGTTCCGAGCGAGCGCCGAGGGGAGGTGGGAGGGCCGGGGGTGGGGGCCGACGGCGGTGGGAGATGGCGTGAGCAGAGGCGGTGGTGGGGGAGAGACGCACAGAGATACACAGAGACCCATAGAGATAGACACACAGAGACACAGAGATACACAGAGACCCATAGAGATAGACACACAGAGACACAGAGATACACAGAGACCCATAGAGACCCATAGAGATACAGACTCACAGAGACCCATAGAGACACACAGAGACCCATAGAGACCCATAGAGATACAGACTCACAGAGACCCATAGAGACACACAGAGACCCATAGAGACCCACAGAGACCCAAAGAGATACACAGACACACAAAGACCCATAGAGATACACAGAAATACATAGAGATCCACAGAGAACACTCCGGATCTCCACGCAGACCCAGGGATTGAACCCAGACTCTCAGTGTCTCCGACACGGCGTGGGTCCTTGCCTCCCGCTGACGTTCCGATGCCACGGCTGCCGCTTGCTCCGGGGCAGCTGTTGCCAGGCGCCGCCGCTGGTCGCCCGCTTCTTCTTGAACCACCTGCGCACCGCCTGCGGTAGCAGCCCCGTCTCCTGCGACAGCCGCTGGCACTCGGTCGCGTCCACGTAGGCCGAGCGCCTGTAGCTCTCCCACAGGATCTTCTGCTTGCAGTCGTAGCTCAAGGCGCCGGCCGCGGCGCCGGCGGCCGCGGCGGCGCCGGCGGCGGTTCTGGCGACGCCGCCGATCGCCGCCGCCGCACCAAGACCCGCGCCGGAGCCGCCCGGCGCCTCCGGCTCCGCCTCACCGCCTCCGGCGTCGTCGTCGGCGTCGTCGTCGTCGTCGTCGTCGTCGTCGGCACGCAGCCGCAGCCGGGCCTCCAGCACCTCCTCGGGGGTCCAGCTGATGCCGTGCTTGAGGCGCTGGGCCTCGAACCAGGCCCGCACGCCGGACACGGCGGCGCCGGTGCGGCGCGCCAGGCGCACGGCGCGCTCGCGCGTCGGGTAGGGGAAGGCCCCGAAGGCGCGGATGAGTCGCGCGTTCACGTCCAGGGCGCCGTCGTAGCTCGAGTAGCGGAAGGGCACGGCCACCGTGGCCTGCAGCGCCGCGTCCGGCGCCCGCCGCACCCGCACCGTGTGCAGGCCCTCGGCCTCCGGCGGGCCGCAGGGCGGCGGGCTGACCGCCGCCGCCGCCGCGCCGCCCACGACGGCGGAGGCGCGGCGGTCGGCGCCGGGGCCGCCGACGCCGCCGGCTCGGAGGCCGGCGGAGCCACCGGCGCCTGCCCCGGCTCGGCGGTTGGCGTCGGAGCCGCCGGTGCAGCGGTCGGCGCTGGACGAGAGGGATCTGCCGAACGACGACGAATCGGACGACGACGAATCCGACGACGACTCCGATGATGAATCCGACGGCGCCACGGCCGGCGCCGCCACCGCCACGCGCTCCAGCGGCACGTGCGCCGCCAGCAGCCGGCGCGGCACGCGGTGGCGCAGCCCCGGCACGGACACAAAGTCGTCGCCAGCGTCGTCAGCCGAGGGGAACCCGTCCCGATTGCTCACGGCGGCGGTGGTGGCGGTGCCGGATTTCTTCTTGCGGTGAGTCGACGACTTCTTCTTGGGCGACATGGCTGGGGGGGGGGGGGGGGTACTACGGGAAGAGACGGGGACACGGGGAAACGGCGGAGACACGGGGAGACACGGGGAGACACGGGGAGACACGGGGGGACACGGGGAGACACGGGGGGACACGGGGAGACACGGGGGAGACACGGGGAGACACGGGGGAGACACGGGGAGACACGGGGGAGACACGGGGAGACACGGGGGGACACGGGGAGACAGTGAGACACGGGGAGACACGAGGGGGAGACACGGGGGAGACACGGGGGGACACGGAGAGACACTGGGAGACACGGGAGATACGGGGAGACACGGGGGAGACACAGGGTACTACGGGGAGACACGGGGGAGACACGGGGAGACACGGGGAGACACGGGGGAGACACGGGGAGACACGGGGGAGACACGGGGAGACACGGGGAGACACGGGGGAAACACGGGGACACGGGGAGACACGGGGACACAGGGAGACACGGGGGAGACACGGGGAGACACGGCGGAGACACTGAGAGACGCGGGGTACTACGGGGAGACACGGGAGATACGGGAAGACACAGGGTGACACGGGGGAGACACGGAGAGACACGGGGAGACACTGGGGGGGAGACACGGAGAGACACGGGGAGACAAAAGCCCGTTAGGGCAAGTGCTGTTAGTCAGCGCCTATGAAGGCTAGTAGCTGCTACACATGTAGTAGTAGCTGCTACACGTGTAGTAGTAGCTGCTACACGTGTAGCAGTAGCTGCTACACGTGTAGCAGTAGCTGCTACACGTGTAGCAGTAGCTGCTACACGTGTAGCAGTAGCTGCTACACGTGTAGTAGTAGCTGCTACACGTGTAGCAGTAGCTGCTACACGTGTAGCAGTAGCTGCTACACGTGTAGCAGTAGCTGCTACACGTGTAGTAGTAGCTGCTACACGTGTAGTAGTAGCTGCTACACGTGTAGTAGTAGCTGCTACACGTGTAGTAGTAGCTGCTACACGTGTAGTAGTAGCTGCTACACGTGTAGTAGTAGCTGCTACACGTGTAGTAGTAGCTGCTACACGTGTAGTAGTAGCTGCTACACGTGTAGTAGTAGCTGCTACACGTGTAGTAGTAGCTGCTACACGTGTAGTAGTAGCTGCTGCACGTGTAGTAGTAGCTGCTGCACGTGTAGTAGTAGCTGCTGCACGTGTAGTAGTAGCTGCTGCACGTGTAGTAGTAGCTGCTGCACGTGTAGTAGTAGCTGCTGCACGTGTAATAGTAGCTGCTGCACGTGTAGTAGAAGCTGCTGCACGTGTAGTAGTAGCTGCTGCACGTGTAGTAGTAGCTGCTGCACGTGTAGTAGTAGCTGCTGCACGTGTAGTAGTAGCTGCTGCACGTGTAGTAGTAGCTGCTGCACGTGTAGTAGTAGCTGCTGCACGTGTAGTAGTAGCTGCTGCACGTGTAGTAGTAGCTGCTGCACGTGTAGTAGTAGCTGCTGCACGTGTAGTAGTAGCTGCTGCACGTGTAGTAGTAGCTGCTGCACGTGTAGTAGTAGCTGCTGCACGTGTAGTAGTAGCTGCTACACGTGTAGTAGTAGCTGCTGCACGTGTAGTAGTAGCTGCTGCACGTGTAGTAGTAGCTGCTGCACGTGTAGTAGTAGCTGCTGCACGTGTAGTAGTAGCTGCTGCACGTGTAGTAGTAGCTGCTGCACGTGTAGTAGTAGCTGCTGCACGTGTAGTAGTAGCTGCTGCACGTGTAGTAGTAGCTGCTGCACGTGTAGTAGTAGCTGCTGCACGTGTAGTAGTAGCTGCTGCACGTGTAGTAGTAGCTGCTGCACGTGTAGTAGTAGCTGCTGCACGTGTAGTAGTAGCTGCTGCACGTGTAGTAGTAGCTGCTGCACGTGTAGTAGTAGCTGCTGCACGTGTAGTAGTAGCTGCTGCACGTGTAGTAGTAGCTGCTGCACGTGTAGTAGTAGCTGCTGCACGTGTAGTAGTAGCTGCTGCACGTGTAGTAGTAGCTGCTGCACGTGTAGTAGTAGCTGCTGCACGTGTAGTAGTAGCTGCTGCACGTGTAGTAGTAGCTGCTGCACGTGTAGTAGTAGCTGCTGCACGTGTAGTAGTAGCTGCTGCACGTGTAGTAGTAGCTGCTGCACGTGTAGTAGTAGCTGCTGCACGTGTAGTAGTAGCTGCTGCACGTGTAGTAGTAGCTGCTGCACGTGTAGTAGTAGCTGCTGCACGTGTAGTAGTAGCTGCTGCACGTGTAGTAGTAGCTGCTGCACGTGTAGTAGTAGCTGCTGCACGTGTAGTAGTAGCTGCTGCACGTGTAGTAGTAGCTGCTGCACGTGTAGTAGTAGCTGCTGCACGTGTAGTAGTAGCTGCTGCACGTGTAGTAGTAGCTGCTGCACGTGTAGTAGTAGCTGCTGCACATGTAGTAGTAGCTGCTGCACATGTAGTAGTAGCTGCTACACATGTAGTAGTAGCTGCTACACATGTAGTAGTAGCTGCTACACATGTAGTAGTAGCTGCACGTGTAGTAGTAGCTACTACACATGTGTAGTAGCAGCTGCTACACGTGTGTAGTGTAGTAGCTACTACTACACTACACGTGTGTAGTGTAGTAGCTACTACTACACTACACGTGTGTAGTAGTAGCTACTACTACTACACATGTGTAGTAGTAGCTACATATGTAGTAGCTACTTGTGCTACTGGGATCATCCGGCACTGCTGCTACCACAGGACACCATCACAGCACCAGCAAGTTTACTCATTTGAGGCCGAGTGGACCTAGGGGGGGGACGAGGCCAGCCCAATCACGGCCGCTACTTAAGATAATCTAAGAATTACGTTTTGTTTTACCCTCCCTGGTGATAAAACACGAGCCCTGGTGATAAAACACCAACGTGGAACCTCATTGCAGTGAATCTGTTACTGTGTGAGCCACGCGAGGTGGTGGTGGTGAGTGGTGGTGGTGAGTGGTGGTGAGTGGTGGTGAGTAGTGGTGAGTGAGTGGTGATGGTGGTGAGTAGTGGTGGGGGTGAGTGGTGGTGGGGGTGAGTGGTGGTGGGGGGGGTGGTGGTGGTGAGTGGTGGTGGTAAGTGGTGGTGGTAAGTGGTGGTGAGTGGTGGTGGTGGTGAGTGGTGGTGAGTGGTGGTGGTGGTGAGTGGTGGTGGTAAGTGGTGGTGGGGGTGAGTGGTGGTGGTAAGTGGTGGTGAGTGGTGGTGGTGAGTGGTGGTGGTGGTGAGTGGTGGTGGTGAGTGGTGGTGGGGGTGAGTGGTGGTGGTGAGTGGTGGTGAGTGGTGGTGGTGGTGAGTGGTGAGTGGTGGTGAGTGGTGGTGGTGGTGAGTGGTGGTGAGTGGTGGTGGTGGTGAGTGGTGGTGGTAAGTGGTGGTGAGTGGTGGTGTGGTGAGTGGTGTGAGTGGTGGGTGGTGAGTGGTGGTGGTGGTGAGTGGTGGTGGTAGTGTGGTGAGTGTGTGGTGGTAGTGGTGGTGAGTGGTGGTGGTGAGTGGTGGTGGTGGTGGTGAGTGGTGGTGGTGAGTGGTGGTGGTGAGTGGTGGTGGTAGTGGTGGTGGTGAGTGGTGGTGGTAGTGGTGAGTGGTGGTGGTGAGTGGTGGTGGGTGAGTGGTGGTGGTGAGTGGTGGTGGTGAGTGGTGGTGAGTGGTGGTGGTGAGTGGTGGTGGTGAGTGGTGGTGAGTGGTGGTGGTGGTGAGTGGTGGTGGTGGTGAGTGGTGGTGGTAAGTGGTGGTGAGTGGTGGTGGTGGTGGTGAGTGGTGGTGAGTGGTGGTGGTGGTGAGTGGTGGTGGTGAGTGGTGGTGGTGGTGGTGAGTGGTGGTGGTGGTGAGTGGTGGTGGTGAGTGGTGGTGGTAAGTGGTGGTGAGTGGTGGTGGTGGTGAGTGGTGGTGGGGGTGAGTGGTGGTGGTAAGTGGTGGTAAGTGGTGGTGAGTGGTGGTGGTGAGTGGTGGTGGTGAGTGGTGGTGGGGGGGTGGTGGGTGGTGAGTGGTGGTGGTGAGTGGTGGTGGTGAGTGGTGGTGGTGAGTAGTGGTGGGGGGGTGGGTGGTGAGTGGTGGTGAGTGGTGGTGGTGAGTGGTGGTGGTAAGTGGTGGTGAGTGGTGGTGGTGGTGAGTGGTGGTGGTGAGTGGTGAGTGGTGGTGGTGAGTGGTGGTGGGGGTGAGTGGTGGTGGTGAGTGGTGGTGAGTGGTGGTGGTGGTGGTGAGTGGTGGTGGTGGTGGGGGGGTGGTGGGTGGTGAGTGGTGGTGGTGAGTGGTGGTGGTGAGTGGTGGTGGGGGTGAGTGGTGGTGGTGAGTAGTGGTGGTGGGGGGGGGTGGTGAGTGGTGGTGGTGGTGAGTGGTGGTGGTAAGTGGTGGTGAGTGGTGGTGGTGGTGAGTGGTGGTGGTGAGTGGTGGTGGTGGTGGTGAGTGGTGAGTGGTGGTGAGTGGTGGTGAGTGGTGGTGGTGGTGAGTGGTGGTGAGTGGTGGTGGTGGTGAGTGGTGGTGGTGAGTGGTGGTGGTGGTGAGTGGTGAGTGGTGGTGGTGAGTGGTGGTGGTGGTGGGGGGGTGGTGGGTGGTGAGTGGTGGTGGTGAGTGGTGGTGGGGGTGAGTAGTGGTGGGGGGGGGGGTGGTGAGTGGTGGTGGTGAGTGGTGGTGGTGAGTGGTGAGTGGTGGTGGTGAGTGGTGGTGGTGGTGGGGGGTGGTGGGTGGTGAGTGGTGGTGGTGAGTGGTGGTGGGGGTGAGTGGTGGTGGTGAGTAGTGGTGAGGGGGGGGGGGTGGTGAGTGGTGGTGGTAAGTGGTGGTGAGTGGTGGTGGTGGTGAGTGGTGGTGGTGAGTGGTGGTGGTGACTGGTGGTGAGTGGTGGTGGTGGTGAGTGGTGGTGGTAAGTGGTGGTGAGTGGTGGTGGTGGTGAGTGGTGGTGAGTGGTGGTGAGTGGTGGTGGTGGTGAGTGGTGGTGGGGAGTGGTGGTGGTGAGTGGTGAGTGGTGGTGGTGAGTGGTGGTGGGGGTGAGTAGTGGTGGGGGGGGGGGGTGGTGAGTGGTGGTGGTGAGAATGAAAATCAAGAAAGCTGTTTTCTCTGATGCATCATCACAGACCACCACCACCACTCACCACCACCACTCACCACCACCACTCACCACCACCACCACTCACCTCCACCACTCACCACCACCACTCACCACCACCACCACTCACCACCACCACCACTCACCACCACCACCACCACCACTCACCTCCACCACCACTCACCACCACTCACCACCACTCAGCTGCTGCTCCACCAAGCCCCGTGTCCACGTTGCGCTCGGGAGACACAAAGAGGAGCGGCGGCTGCCGCCATTGCTGGGAGATCGTGGGGAGGGGGGAGATGGGGGAGGGGGACGGCGAGACGGCCATGTTGCATAGGGAGACGGCGAGACGGCCATGTTGCATAGGGAGACGTCGAGACGGCCATGTTGCATAGGGAGACGGCGAGACGGCCATGTTGCATAGGGAGACGTCGAGACGGCCATGTTGCATAGGGAGACGGCGAGACGGCCATGTTGCATAGGGAGACGGCGAGACGGCCATGTTGCATAGGGAGACGTCGAGACGGCCATGTTGCATAGGGAGACGGCCATGTTGCATAGGGAGACGGCGAGACGGCCATGTTGCATAGGGAGACGGCGAGACGGCCATGTTGCATAGGGAGACGGCGAGACGGCCATGTTGCATAGGGAGACGGCGAGACGGCCATGTTGCATAGGGAGACGTCGAGACGGCCATGTTGCATAGGGAGACGGCGAGACGGCCATGTTGCATAGGGAGACGGCGAGACGGCCATGTTGCATAGGGAGACGGCGAGACGGCCATGTTGCATAGGGAGACGGCGAGACGGCCATGTTGCATAGGGAGACGGCGAGACGGCCATGTTGCATAGGGAGACGTCGAGACGGCCATGTTGCATAGGGAGACGTCGAGACGGCCATGTTGCATAGGGAGACGGCGAGACGGCCATGTTGCATAGGGAGACGGCGAGACGGCCATGTTGCATAGGGAGACGGCGAGACGGCCATGTTGCATAGGGAGACGGCGAGACGGCCATGTTGCATAGGGAGACGGCGAGACGGCCATGTTGTATAGGGAGACGGCCATGTTGTATAGGGAGACGGCGAGACGGCCATGTTGTATAGGGAGACGGCGAGACGGCCATGTTGCATAGGGAGACGGCGAGACGGCCATGTTGCATAGGGAGACGGCGAGACGGCCATGTTGTATAGGGAGACGGCCATGTTGTATAGGGAGACGGCGAGACGGCCATGTTGCATAGGGAGACGGCCATGTTGCATAGGGGGACGGCGAGACGGCCATGTTGCATGGGGGGGGGGGACGTCGTGGCGGCCATGTTACATGGGGGGGGACGTCGTGGCGGCCATGTTGCATGGGGGGGGGGGGGGACGTCGTGGTGGCCATGTTGCATGGGGGGGGGGGGAGACGTCGTGGCGGCCATGTTACATGGGGGGGGGGGGGGGGACGTCGTGGTGGCCATGTTACATGGGGGGGGGACGTCGTGGCGGCCCATGTTGCATGGGGGGGGGGGGGGACGTCGTGGTGGCCATGTTGCATGGGGGGGGGGGGGGGGACGTCGTGGCGGCCATGTTGCATGGGGGGGGGGGGGGGACGTCGTGGCGGCCATGTTACATGGGGGGGGACGTCGTGGCGGCCATGTTGCATGGGGAGGGGGGGGACGTCGTGGCGGCCATGTTACATGGGGGGGGACGTCGTGGCGGCCATGTTGCATGGGGGGGGGGGGGCGACGTCGTGGCGGCCATGTTGCATGGGGGGGGGGGACGTCGTGGTGGCCATGTTGCATGGGGGGGGGGGGACGTCGTGGTGGCCATGTTGCATGGGGGGGGGGGGGACGTCGTGGCGGCCATGTTGCATGGGGGGGGGGGGACGTCGTGGTGGCCATGTTGCATGGGGGGGGGGACGTCGAGACGGCCATGTTGCATGGGGGGGGGACGTCGTTGTGGCCATGTTGCATGGGGAGGTGGGGGGGAGACGTCGTGGCGGCCATGTTGCATGGGGGGGGGGGGGACGTCGTGGCGGCCATGTTGCATGGGGGGGGGGGGAGACGTCGTGGTGGCCATGTTGCATGGGGGGGGGGGGAGACGTCGTGGCGGCCATGTGCATGGGGGGGTGGGGACGTCGTGGTGGCCATGTTGCATGGGGGGGGGGGGACGTCGTGTGGCCATGTTGCATGGGGGGGGGGGGGACGTCGTGGCGGCCATGTTGCAGGGGGGGGGGGACGTCGTGGTGGCCATGTTGCATGGGGGGGGGACGTCACGTCAGCCATGTTGCATGGGGGGGGGACGTCGTGGTGGCCATGTTGCATGGGGGGGGGGACGTCGTGGCGGCCATGTTGACATGGGGGGGGGGACGTCGTTGCGGCCATGTTGCATGGGGGGGGGGGAGACGTCGTGGTGGCCATGTTGGCATGGGGGGGGGGGGGAGACGTCGTTGGTGGCCATGTTGCATGGGGGGGGGGGGGGAGGAGACGTCGTGGGGGCCATGTTGCATGGGGGGGGGAGGAGGGGAGACGTCGTGGTGGCCATGTTGCATGGGGGGGGGGGGGAGACGTCGGGTGGCCATGTTGCATGGGGGGGGGGGGGGCGACGTCGTGGTGGCCATGTTGATGGGGGGGGAGACGTCGTGGTGGCCATGTTGCATGGGGGGGGAGACGTCGTGGCGGCCATGTTGCATGGGGGGGGGGGAGACGTCGTGGTGGCCATGTTGCATGGGGGGGGGGGGAGACGTCGTGGTGGCCATGTTGCATGGGGGGGGGAGGACGTCGTGGCGGCCATGTTGCATGGGGGGGGGGGGGAGACGTCGTGGTGGCCAGTTGCATGGGGGGGGGGGGAGACGTCGTGGTGGCCATGTTGCATGGGGGGGGGGGGGGGGGAGACGTCGTGGTGGCCATGTTGCATGGGGGGGGGAGACGTCGTGGTGGCCATGTTGCATGGGGGGGGGAGGACGTCGTGGCGGCCATGTTGCATGGGGGGGGGGGAGACGTCGTGGTGGCCATGTTGCATGGGGGGGGGAGACGTCGTGGTGGCCATGTTGCATGGGGGGGGGGGGTGACGTCGTGGCGGCCATGTTGCATGGGGGGGGGGAGACGTCGTGGTGGCCATGTTGCATGGGGGGGGGGGTGACGTCGTGGCGGCCATGTTGCATGGGGGGGGGGAGACGTCGTGGTGGCCATGTTGCATGGGGGGGGGGGGGAGACGTCGTGGCGGCCATGTTGCATGGGGGGGGGGAGACGTCGTGGCGGCCATGTTGCATGGGGGGGGGACGTCGTGGCGGCCATGTTGCATGGGGGGGGGGGAGACGTCGAGACGGCCATGTTGCATGGGGGGGGGACGTCGTGGTGGCCATGTTGCATGGGGGGGGGGAGACGTCGTGGCGGCCATGTTGCATGGGGGGGGGGGGAGACGTCGTGGCGGCCATATTGCATGGGGGGGGGGGGAGACGTCGAGACGGCCACGTTGCATCAGCTCATGGCGGCCATGTCTATATGTAATAACCTGTATACAGTCTATAAAAGGGAAATTTGTGAATGTGTGTGTCTGTTCAAGATGTTCAGCGTACTTCCCGCCATGCAACAAACTTGAAATTGCCTTGTGGGTACTTGCCAGACTGTGCACCGTGCACAAACATGTGGGTGGGGGGGGGGGCAATAAGGCAAAGATTTAGCACGGAAAGTGAGCTGTGACGTCACGTGTCATGTGACCCGCGTGCGGCAGCGTCACGTGGTGTGCCTGCCGATCGCGGGTAACGTGAAATACATCAAGATGTCGATGTGAAGCTTCGTTCGTGACTGCAGCAGGGATTCGTCTTCGTGGTTCTTTCGGTAAAGTCACGTAGAAGGGAAATAATAAAATAATAAAAATAAAACATTATACAAATTTGTATTATATATTATATTTTATCATATATTAAATGCACAGTATAGACGAGACAAATTATATATTATTATTATTATATTTAAATATTTTATTATGTTTTATTATTATTATTTTATTATTTCCATTCTCCGTGACTTTACCGAAAGAACCAAGAAGAAGCCAACTAAAAGTGTTGCAGGTCTCAGGCGATATTCGCGCAGCGTTGCTGCTTCATTATTTCAGTCGCTTACTGCCGTACGCAGCCTGAACGTTGTGTTGTGTCTGCAGCAAGCGCGTGTGTGTGTGTACCTGTGTGTGTGTACCTGTGTGTGTGTGTGTACCTGTGTGTGTGTACCTGTGTGTGTGTGTGTGTGTACCTGTGTGTGTGTACCTGTGTGTGTGTGTGTACCTGTGTGTGTGTGTGTGTACCTGTGTGTGTGTGTGGGGGGAGCGGTGGTGTAGTGGTTAGCGTGCTGTCTGTGCGTCTGTGTGTTTGTGTCTGTGTGTGGGGGGAGCGGTGGGTGTAGTGGTTAGCGCGCTGTGTGTTTGTGTCTGTGTGTCTGCGTGTCTGTGTGTGGGGGGAGCGGTGGGTGTAGTGGTTAGCGCGCTGTGTGTTTGTGTCTGTGTGTGTCAGCGTGTGTGGGGGCCGTTGGCCCCCGGGGTCCCGCCCGCCTGCATCCCCTATTGTGTTTATGTTACCCCACCTCCCTATTACCCGCTACGGTTTCGCCGGCATTCGAACGCGACGCCCGTACTGTTACAGCCTCGCGCCGCACTCCCACGCTGCGAGCATACGTGCGCACAGCATCATGAATCAAACGCCGTGCTCGCAGTATAGCCCTGTGCGGCACGTTCCCAATGCGCATCCGTATCCGACACGTAACGAACGTACGCACACACACACCGCTTCGTGCACTCCAACTCCACACGGACTACTCAAGTTACGATCGCGCACCTGTATCACACACGGAGTGAGCACACACGACACCCACTCTCGCACCGCTCTGCGCAGCGCTCCCCCGAGGCGAGCCGCAGCACTACAGGATCACTGCGTACACACGCGCACCCACACGCTCACACTGCACGACAAGATCACGCGAGACCACGCTTCGCTATTAATGATTTATTATATGTTACCTGCGAATTGATGTTGAATCAGTGAGTCGACGAGGCTGGCCTATTCCACCCAAACCTGTACCTATTCCCTATTTATCGGCTTACGCTACCCTACTTCACCTCCCCACTTACTGTTTGGTGCCCGCGGAGGTTCGCTGCTCTCTGCGCTAACAGCGTACCTCGATGCGTCGCACGGACGTCCGGGTCGCTGGCTGGAACTCCTGCTGGTCCGCTGGCCTGGAGAGAAGGGCGATTTCCCCTCTCCGCTCCTCTATTTATCCTCCCTCCCTCAAAGGGGATGCTGCGCTGAACAATCG